TGATTCTGCCCCTCTGCTCTGCTCTGGTGAGACCCCACCTGGAGTACTGCATCCAGCTCTGGAGCCCTCAGCACAAGAAAGACATGGACCTGTTGGAGTAGGTCCAGAGGAGGGCCGCGAAAATGATTAGGGGGATGGAACACCTCTCCTGTAAAAGAAAGGCTGAGAGAGTTGGGGTTGTTCAGCCTGGAGAGAAGGTGGCTTCGGGGACACCTTCTTGCAGCCTTTCAGTACTTAAAGGGCGCTTATAAGAAAGATGGGGACAAACTTTTTAGCAGGGCCTGTTGCAACAAGACACTGGGTAATGGTTTTAAACTAAAAGAAGGTAGATTCAGACTAGATGTAAGGAAGACATTTTCTACAGTGAGGGTGGTGAAGCACTGGAACAGGTTGCCCAGAGAGGTGGTGGATGCCCCATCCCTGGAAACATTCAAGGTCAGGCTGGACGGGGCTCTGAGCAACCTGATCTAGTTGAAGATGTCCCTGCTCCTTGCAGGGGGGTTGGACTAGATGACCTTTAAAGGTCCCTTCCAATGCAAACTATTCTATGATTCATGATTGTTATTTTCCACCAAGTTTTTATACAGCCTAAAAACATAATGCTATTGTATAAAAATCAATGGCCTACCCTTGCTTAAGAACAGTGTGTTCTGCTCTAATCAAGTGCTCTCTTATGCACAGTATAAAGTATTTGGAGAACAGCAATGGAAACATTAGGCATATGATTGCAAGTTATTTGTGAGGCACGGACTGCTTAGGAAAGGGGCATCAGGCAACAGCATCAGAAGCTTTGGCCATACCAGTAGACAAAGGGGGAATTCACATACCTTCTCCTAAACAAGCGCTAGGAGCATCTCCCAGCAAAACTGACCAGCAACCAGGTTAAAAATTGCAACATGGTCAAGACCCACAGAACTTGGCAGCGCGAGCTGTCCTAGTGCACGTAAGATTGTTAAAGGGCACTGCATTCACACTGTTAAAATAATCATACCACTCTAGGCAGGGTAACATAGATTTCAGTAACAGCAGAAGGCCTCAGAAAAACAGGCCAGCTTCTTGGCAGTAGCTAGGAAGAAGCCTCCGCTGGAAACAGGGTACTTCATCATTGCCTCTTACAGGGTTTCTGCAGTGCCCTCTGTGCCCCACTCCAGCCTTACCCTTTCCCCCCAGTGGTTGGGCCATGCATTGGTCTCATCCCACTGAGCAACTCCATGGTAGTCATGGCCCATGGTATGAAGGAGGAGTTATTTCTGACCACAACTGGTGTAAATAATGATTTCAGAGGAGGACTGGTGGGACAGTGGAGGAGTTTTAAGACTAAAGGACACAGGTAAGTGAGAAGTGCTGAACTGCAGACACAGCATGGAAGAGCGAGGCATTTCTGAGAACATGGAATAAAAAATTTCAGAAATCAACAATTTCCCAAGGAACCAGTGCATTTACATAAATAGGCCGACTCTTTGCAAGAACTGGGAAAGACAGAAATCCCAGGGGACAGAAAAAGAAATCCAAAACTTTCTTACCCTGGGCTGTTAATATAAGAACTGCTGACATGAGCAGCTAACACATTCAACCTCAGGTTCCCTCAAACTTGAGCTGGAGCTGCTAACCCAAGTTAGTCTGCCTCCCTTGCTAGTTTAGTTAATGCAGGTTGGTCAACTTAAACTTAAAAGACTTTTTTTTCCATTTTCAATTGCAAACCTATCCTCACACAGTATGTTTCATTTAAGGCAATGTTAGTATAGTAGGTAATGGGCAGGAAAGATGTCAACTTAAATCTAGGGTTTTGTTCTCTCCTCATGGTAAACATTCTCTGTTAAAGTTTCCACTATCCCAGACAAAAGAGCATCACTTTTCTTTCCTGCCTCATGCTCCGACTCAAAAGACAACCGTAAGCTTAAAATCTGAGTGCGTAATAAGTCATGAGGACCTACATCTCTCAGCATAAACAGTTTGCTGGTTGAAAGTCAAAAGGAGATTAAAAGGATAGTGAGCTTGGTATATTTGTCAATAAACCCAACATAATAAAGCTAGCAGTTTGGGTCTTTTTAAGGCCTGAAGAACACTCCTGATAACGCTTTAACCTTAAGCGGAAAGAGCATGATAAAGCTAAGTGTTACACATCTACCACAACAAACAGCATTAACAGAAACAATTGGAAACTATGTGGACTGTCTAAAAACTGAGAAATGTTTCAATTAGAGGCCACCTCACCAGAAAGATGACACAGCACATATGCAAGACAACTTACCTTTTTTTAGGTTAAGAATTAATAACAATTGATACAGTGAAGCGCGCTCTACTAAATACAGGCCTATATCAAGCATGGATCATTTCTCCTCAAGAAGTATCAAAATAGGGAACAGGTTTCAGCCAACAGCCTGCCAGGGCTGCACGAGGAAAGCATTCACCATCATGAGTGCAGAAGAGCACCACCAATGAAACGTAGCCTTTTCTGCCAGAATGAAAAGCAGCATAAGAAGATGGTCAGCATACCAAGCACCGCAAAATTAAGCCCTGTGTATACCATATTTGTAATAGCCCCAGCACTCTAGCACAACAAACGCTGCATTCCAACAGTCTAAGAAGTGTGTTCAGATTCACACTTACCCTCAGGAAGAGTCGGGCACCCACATCTACTCCAAGTCAGGATACCTGTATTGTACCAGAAGCACCACCAGCATTCAAATCCCAACCAAGATTGATGCGGATTAGATCTCCACATACTGGTCTGTCTTCTGAAATGTTACCCATTAGATACCACTAGGAGGTCAGGACTAAACTTGTAAGGCTGGCTACTCACTTGTCATGTTATTTGGTAGATTAGCTAGCCCACGACACAGGTACAAAGCACGAGTTTATTTAGACGTTGCTTGAAACTGCCAGTGTACTTCACAGATGACCTGTCTGCAACAGTCTACTACTTTAAAACAAACAGATTTGAAATATTTTAAACTTTTGATTTAGCAGGCGCATTACTTCGCGTTTCAGAAGTTCACCATCTGCTGGGTTTACCTTTTAAGTCTCTCTGCACTCCGGCTGCGCAGCCATCTGGGATGAGATAATTTGAACAGCAGACTGTGTCCTCCCATGTTACTAGAGAGGAAGAGCAGCCAAGCATGTATGAATAAAGTCTATTTCATTCTTTCAAACAAAGGTGGAGGAGGATTTGAAAGTTAAAAAAAAAAAAAGAGGGGGAGGGGAAGAAAACTAAAAATGGCAGTCCCACTTTCCATCTTCAACTGCACCATGACTACCAGAGCTGAGTCACAGTTACTATTGATTAAAAATAAGCAGGAGAGAACAGAGCCTCACTTACAGATCCCAAGGTGAATTTGCAAGGCTGGCAGCTAGAAAGCTTTTTCATTTGCGAAGCAAAAAGGAGAGAAGTAGAGTCAGAGAAGTTCAGTCTACATCTACTGAGTCGTTTTTCTGACCAGAGCCAGCTAAGGCATTAGCATCTCTAGTCCATCAGCTGGTGCAAACCAGGCAATGCCACTCAGGTTAAGTACACCTACATGGACTCAGGAGAATCCACATCGTCTGCATTTTCTGTAGGAAAAAATCTCATTAAGAAACCAAATGCCAGCATCTTAAGTTAGACGGACACAGAAGGAACTTTAATTATCCAGCATCTTTAAAATGTATCCTTTCACTATTAAGTAGCTTTGCAACAGTGAATCCCCTATGCTAATTTTTCTATGGAGTAAGTCGCAGTCACCTCAAATCCTTTGCTATTCAAAATACCTCAAAGGCATAGGAGGCACTCAGGAAGACTGTTAAAAAAAAAAAAACACACAAACCCTGCAGGTTATTTCTATGTCGATCAAGAAGTTTGCTTTGTTCAACATGGTAAAACCAGTCAGGAGTCGTGGCAGAAGTGGCAACATTTTAAAAGGTTGCACTGTGACAATTCCCATGCAAGGTCCTCAAAAGGGAGCTGTGCAACCATTTAAAGAAGAGGTAACTCCGCTCTACAGAAATAACACTTACTGTGTCATTGTCAGCTCTTTCTAAAATCTTGACAAGCCCGTGCTTCAGGCACGCTGCTTGTCTTGTTAGAGGGAAGCACCACAACATGCATCCTACACTTTGTCAAAAGAGTAATTCTCACCCAAAATCATTGTAAATTTGCATGACAGCACAAAGGTGAATTTGGAAGCAGGCAACAGAAGGCTCTGAGGCTTGCATGCCTCCAGTGGTGCATGGTTTCACTCATTTTGTAACACTAGCAACGAAACTTTGGTAAGCTGGCCACTGACAGCAATTATTTTTCCACCTGTTAAGGATCAGTTAACTCTGAAAAACTCTCACACACAAGCATATTAGAGATACTCATTCTCCACATGAAGTTTCCCAGTAATAGCCAGCCCTTTGAGGAAACTACTCATTGAAATAATTTCAAGCAACAGTAAGTGGAAGGAAGAACAGAGATTACATACTGCATATACAGTGCTGGGGGACCACAGAGCAGACAGCCACAGAGCCCACACTCTGCCCTACAGATCCACATCTGGCTCATCCTGGTCTTCTCCAGGAGCAGGGCTCAACTCCCAATCCATGTTTCAGCATCCAGTCTTTCACTCCTCATAGACAAAACCATAAAACCTTCTTGGTGAAATTCTCTCAAAAGGCAAGTTTGAAAAGACAGGGGATTAGGAAGCAATCGATGAGAACTGTGGCAAAGCAACAATTTACCCAGCAGGGTTGTCTTGATAAAAATCTGCTCACTGACAATTTCTCTCTCACCTTTGTTATTTAAGTTCATCCGTTCCCCACTATCTCGGCCTCTGAGCACTGGCAGTCAGAGACCCTACCCAATCCAAAGCCCCCAGGGGGACACACAACCCCGGTGGCCCAGCACAGCGTTGGACTCCGGCGCTCGGCAGACAGACACCGCTGCTTACGGAAAGCTCAAAACCATGTACCTGGTAGCGCTGCAAACACTCACCAGGAGGAAGTGACGGAGACAAGTTTCCTCTATTCCTTGACCCTCAACAAATCGAGGAAGAAAGACTGTAACTATCATCCCTGGGGCGTTCTGAAGTAAGACCTCACTCTGAGGAAAAACAAGCTCAGTTCAGGATTAAGCAAACAGAAGTGCCTTGCAAGGAGTACGCAGCTGCCTACAGACCAGACTTTTAGGAGCTGCCAAAGCTTATCCCACCTGGCCTCTAGGCTGGCTGTGATCATAAGGAAGAGCAAACAGTCATCTGGCCAGCTGTCTGATGTACACAGAAACAACTGGACTGGATAAAGAAGACAGTTCATTTTTGTAAGAAACAATATATTTTATTTTTCTGACACCACAGCCCTGGCGAGTGGTTTTGTACCAAATTTAATGGAGGTTACACAGAACGTTTTACGCTGGGGAGGAAAAAAAAAAAATAACCACAAAAAAAATCCTTGATAACTTTTAGTGTCTGTTCCACTCCCACATTAATAAAATCACTTGGGGTTTCTAAGAAAAGGAGAATAGGAAACAGTGAGAGAGACTACTGTAGGATGTAACAGTGTCCAAGTCCAGCCCCTTCCTAAAAGTGGGAAGAGTCCCCACGTGAGGAGAGGCTCTCCTAGATTTACTCCCCAAAGTAACACAATGTATTGCAGCTGCCATAGGAGGAGACAGAAGGGGGACGGAGAGAGAGAAGCCTATTTAATAAAGAGTGGGAGGGAGAGACAGAAGGTGCTGGACAGCACGCCATAATTTGAAAAATATGTCCTTAACTTATTATTTATTTCTTTTAAAAGATTCCCCTCACTGAACTTAAGTTCCTTTTTGTGCTTTTCATTAATACTCTGCTCTGAGGTCGTAGTTTGGTTTTTCTATACATTGGAGTTGAAGGAAAATAGTCCGAAGTTCTGAAGATGGATTCTCCACCTAAAGTAAACAGCCTAGAATCCCATTCTCCTCTCACCCCAAAGACTAAAGTCTCTGCTAAAATCCCTTTTACAATATAGTACAGTACACAAAAAACCCCAAAAATAACCAAGAGTCCTGGGAGAAGCCAGTCCGAAGGACGTAAACATACAGAGAATGGTGCAACTTGTGACAAATGGCAATTCTCAAAATACAGCTACAGATTCTCAAAGCAGGTGCCGTCACGGGATACCCAAGTCCACAAAAATAATTTTTAAAAAATAAATCTTAAAAAAAAACAACCTGTTAAAATGAATAATTTTTTTTTTTTCAGGTAATTCCATACATTCGAGATTTCCCAAAGCGTCCTCTGGTCTCTTTTCACCTATTGCATGGCCAAACTGTACTCCTGAAGCTCCCAAAAAAGCACTCAGGACTTGGAATCTCATCTTGACAAGGATCAGAACATCCAGTCTTGTGGTAGCAGCTTAAAACATCATGTTCCCTGGGTTTCCAGGGCCTTGGCTAAATCCTCCCATGCCAACGTCAGCAGCCATACCTCGGGGCCTCATCTGGGGGGGAATCATGATGTTTTGTTGGGGTCCCATCATGCCCTGCATTGACATCATCATACCAGGTGACCCTACAGGGCCCGGGTGGCTGTACAGCCCCGCAGGGGCTCGGTCCTTGCCTGGGATCATGCCCACGGCGGCCACGGGGTTACTCATTAGCGCGGGCTGGCCAGGCATCGCCGTTTGTGCTGGTGACATCATGCGGTGGTGCGGCCCCATCATGCCTTGCTGCAGGAAGGCAGGCGGTCTCATCGGGTTGTGACCTGGCATGGACGGAGCCGTCCCAAGAGGGATATCTGGAGTTCCCACTGGCCCAGGGCCCCCCATGCCAGGCAACGTTAGTCCCATCCTCGGGGTCTGCTCTCCTATCATCCCCTGCATGTGGGAGAACCCAGGCCCAGGACCCTGCGGCTGCTTGCGGCCTGGCACCTCCCCACGAGGGAAATACTGTAGTGTCTGGCTAGGCTTCTCCGACGGGATAATCCTGGACAGGTCAAACTCGGGTATTCCCGTGGCTCCAGGACGGATCACCTCCTGCAGCTCTGGATCAGTGAAAACCGAAGGCATATTGTTTCCGAGAACAGTGAAGGAGTCTGGACCGCCAGGGCCTCCAGTCTTGCAAAGTGCTGGATCTGTCGAACTTTGGGGCAGGTTGGTAGGACGCCCCAGAGGTCCTTCTCCGTGGAAGCCCATTCCCGCTGGGAAGTTGCCTTGCCCACCACTGGGCCCATTGTGTGGAAATGGCACCTGCTGTGGAGGGGACTGTACGGGAGGGAACCCCTGTGGGAAGCCCAGGCGTCCTTGAGGTACCATTGGAGACTCCTGGGAACCGTGCCCCATCATCGGGTTGTGTGACATCAGGCCGGGTCCCACGGGGACCCCATGAGGAGGTATATTGGGTCCCATAGCATTTGGAGAGGGCATCTGGTTGTTATGGGAAAGAGGCTGGGTCATTCCCATTGGGCTAAGGGTTGGCATTGGACCCACTGGGTTTGGACCTGAAATTCGAGGATTCTGAGAATTAATGCCCATTCCTAGGGAAGAAATAAGGAATCACATTTAGATAACAGCCAATAACAATCAATAAAGCTATCAGAGCGCTTTATGCAAGGTTACCAAGTCTGTGCACACACACAAAAAATCAGTGCTAGTAAAAAAACATCAGCAGCGGCTCTGGAAAAATGTTATTTTAACCAGAAAATGGATGCCACCTGCACAGCTGCCTCCCTAAGCTTGTCACTGCCCTATCAAAAAGTGACTAAAGCCCGTTCTGTAAGTAGGATCTCAATCCAACCCATACCTTTACTACTTCCCTGGCAGTCTAGATGATGCAGGCAGTAACAAACATGTCTGTGACAGATTATCAGCGTATAGACACTTGTCCACTGGGAGGTGACTGAATCTCCTTTCAAAACTCAAGAAGTGATAAATCAGGTAACCCTCCTAAGACTAGGAGGCGATGATCAATGAGGTTAATGAGCTATCATCATGAACTTATTTAATTAGCCAGCTTCCTCAGGTATATTCAGCCACTCTGATCATTACTGCGTGAAACAGACAGCACACCTACAGGTAAACACATCAAGAACAGATTACCAGTTGCTGCTCTCATGAAACATCCGCTCATCCCCTCTTTCAACTATGTTAATTCAATTGGGTGGAGGGGCTACTGCCTACTTTTGTACTAAATATGTACCCACAAACATTAAGCTATCAGCAGGGATTGGATTTCTCATATAAACATGCTCACCCACAAGACAGCCCAAAAGGACAATGTTTTATTTTACTGGTTGAGGTCACCTGCCATTACACATTCCCCGTATGAAAATACGTTTGCTTTGAGAAAGCGCTCTAACACTCTCTTCTGTAACAAAGGCAATCCACAAAACCCAGGAAAAGACCAGATGATTCAGTGTCAAAAAAAACCCCAAACCACCAAACCAAAAAAACCCGTGAAGCTTCTATGACACTGCCGTAAGACAGGGGGAGAACGGTTTCCTCTGGGTAACACGTTGTAGGTCTGACCCTTATTCTCATGAGCAGCATTCACTCACACAAGTAATTCCGGTCTGCCCGAGTGGAAATCTCTCCCATACATAACAGTTTTCCAGATTAAACACTTTCTGGACAGAAATAACTGGTTGCAAGGACAATTTCCATCTCCCCATTTCAGAGAACTGCAACTGCCTTCCTCAAAAACAACCCATGGCTGTATATTCTCCAAGGTTTTTTCCTCTCACCATCTTTATCTGATGAAGTTTCCATAAAAATCACCCTCACTGTATTGCCTGATAGCTTAGGCTTATGTTTCTTTGAGTTTCTTACCTGGTACGCTGTTCATAGGTGGCAAGTTTGGGGAGCGTGCTGGAGGGGAGTCATCATCCGAGCTGGCCACAGTTTTGATGGCATCATGATAGAGCGGTGTAGAGCTGGGCATGGCAAATTTGGACATCCTGGACATCATAATGGAGAGGGGATTCTGGGAGAGGGTCGGCTCTGGAGGCATTGTGTAAGGACTGCTAGAGGGAAGATTTCCAGGAAGAGTCACAGGAGCAGACTGGCTGACTGTGGAAGGAGGTGGACCACCTTGGGGGGGGGGAAGAACAAAACCTTTAATTTTTTTCCTTCTTATCACTTTTTCCTGAAATCCCACCCTTTTCTCCTAGAAATCTCAAAAACTAGAAATCACTTTTATTGCAAGAGATCATCTAACTAATGCAATCAATGCCTATGAAAGGTAACCAGAAAAATAAGCCTGTTGGTCAAGATGGTTAACATTTATCCTGGATTCTGCACTTCTACTGGAACTATCTTGAGCCTCTACAAATCCACATGAAGAATTATCAGGTACATCTGAAAATCCTACTATTCGGCTTCCAGGCACTGAAGACGACAGACTTACATACCAGGTCTAGCCATAAAAATCCAGATCCATAGTCAATTAATTGTTCCTCCACCCACCAAACGTCAACTGTAACTCCCTTCCCTTTTTCTTTAGGAGGCAAACAAACACAAAAGACATAGGCAGCACAACGAAAGCTGTAGCAGATACTATGCTGGGACATGCAGACAGATTTCTGACAAGCTACATCAGCAGCTACAAGTAAAACTGCTTGTTTCTATTTCATTTCAGGTTTTATATACACATATTTACTGCTCATTCCAGTTAAAGAAACATTCTCTGCACCTATTAGCTTATCATCCTCTGCTCTCCCAAAACTAGAAATAACTTAATTGCACTTCCAGTCTCCTTTGTTCTTCACCGATGAATTTCATGCCACCCAAACCACGTGAAGGAAAGATGCTAAACCAAAGTTGTACTGTCACTGAAAATTCACTTGAGGTTCCTCAGCTCATCCCAGAGAAAGGAAAGGAGAATACAGAAGTCCTGCAATGCCGAACCGTTTATGCGTTGGAAGAGCTGCATGTAAAAGCATTCGCTAAATGCAACGTTGGGCACAGACTAAAGCATTCAGTTCTGACCTGCAGGCGCTTGGGCTCACGCCGGGCACGGCCTCGGCAGCCAC